CCGTCGTACTGGTCTCGTGTCGTCCGTCGTACTGGTCTCGTGTCGTCTGTCGTACTGGTCTCATGAATCAGTGAGATATTAGTTTCTTATGATTTATCCTTTTGTGTTTCAGAACAACGTGAATAGAGACCAGTTCGTTCAGGACCCGGCCGTGCTGAGGGAACGAGCCGAAGCCCGGAGAGCTGCCCTGCAGCAGAGGAGAGGGTAAAGGTCAAAGGTCATCGTAACAAGGCTACTGGTTGCATAGAGTGCAGGGAAAACTGGAGTTCTCCCTGAATGAAGTCAGACGTGCAGCTGAAGGGTTTACTCCGGTAGTTTTCCGGACATATTGATATGCAGGACGCAGTCGATGTAAACAAAGCACGTAACTGGCTGAGAGTCGTCTGTGCAGGCGAAGAAGTCTGGGGAAAAAGAAAAGAGTGAATCTGCTTCTAAATACAAGAACGACTGAGATGAGCAGAGCTGCACGCTTCAACTCGCAGCTCAGGCTTTCTGCACGTTCCCTGCCTTGGGGGGGGGGGGTTGGTTAGCTACGTTAGTGCCGGCAGGGGGAGAGGAGTGCTACGTTTGTACTGCTCGTGGTTTGGAGTCTGAGCTTAAGTACCGTATTTTCTGCCGTACACGTCGCTCTGCCCTGTAAGTCGCATCGTCCATATTTGTCTAAAAAAGTGGAAAAATCCATAAATACGTTGCTTCTATTACGCGTCACCACGACAACCTGGAAATGTGGACCGGTGTTGTGCCAAAAACTGATAGGCTGCCAAATGGCGGCCGCGGGAGCGTGCACGGGAGGACTTTAACAAGAATTTAAGAAGATTAACACTTAAAAACCATTATTTGTTTGAAATTATAGGAAAGGTGTGTCTCAGTCTAACGTTTGCTTAATAAATGCACTTTAATGGTGAAACCAGCTGTATTTCACCGGGCGGTGCAGCTGGACTGACTGTGGGTCCAAGCAGCGAGCAGAACCAAGGTGGGAGGCTATGGCAACCCGACTGCATCGTTAAATCTGGTGAAGATTCTCAGTCATCCAGGACGTGGAAAATTCAAAAAAGTTTAAACTATAATAAATAAAGTCCATTTGTTTTTGTCTCTAACTTTTCTGTATTTGTCATCATCGCCACGTTGACCTATTACATGATACAACAGCATTCCATACTGGTACTACTGCTCTGCTGCCATCAAGTGGCTGAAAGTGGTACTGCTTAATTTTTTTCAGTCAGAATGAATGGAAACGGTCAAATCGCAGCCAAAAGCCATTTTATAAATATGGAAAAAAAAAAATCCATAAATATGTCGCAGGGCATGTAAATTATGAGAAAAAAACAAACAGCGACTCACAAAGAAAAATACGGTACTAATCTCCGTCTGGATGTGGGGATTACGTAAGCGGGGCCCTCGGTTGGTGTTTAACGCTGCAGTTTAGTGAAACCGCAGCACAATGGCTCAGTGGTTAGCACTGTTGTCTCACAGCAAGAAGGTCCTGGGTTCAATCCCCGGTTGGACCTGGGGTCTTTCTGTGTGGAGTTTGCATGTTCTTGTGCTGTGTGGGTTTTCTCCGGGTACTCCGGTTTCCTCCCACCAAGGGCGTCAGAAGCATCCGTAATGTGGAGGGGTCCAAATGAACGTTTTTTTAATGTGGGGGGGACTTGTCCCCTTCACATACAATGGTTGCAACGCCTGTGCCTCCCACTGACCAAAAACATGCATGTTAGACTGATTCAGGTCCAGGTCTCCCTTACAGAGAGATCTGTGATCTCAGTGGGATTTGCCTGGTTAAATAAAGGTTAAAGGTTAAATAAAGGTTAAATAAATAAAATAAAACCACTTGACCGAACACGTCAATGCTGCCAGACGTCTCCACCCCTAACACCTCTACATGTAGCTGACCAGCTTTCAGTCACTTCGGCTGTTAGTAGCTAAACAAACGCAGCTGGCTGTGAATGTTAAAGGACACGTGAAGCGTCTTCATGACGCTGCAGCGAGTGTCTTGAAAATGAAACAGCATGTTTTCCTTTGTTTCGTTGTTTAACAAACCGTTTGCTGTGACTCACATTTAAGCTGTCAGAAGAAATCAGCTGTTTCTCCATCCTTATCCTCCCAGCTTTCGACCAGAGCGACCCAGCAACGTGGTGGGACAACCCAAAGGCCAGGGACAGTCCTCAGAGACGGTCTTGGACAGACGCAAGAAGGAGACCAACAAGAGCCGCACAGCCAATCACAACCGGCGCACGATGGCCGACCGCAAGAGGAACAAAGGCATGATCCCGTCCTGACGACCCCAACGTCCTCAGGGGGCCAGAGACCCAGCAGGGGGACAGCCCTCAAGTAGCTGCAGAGGCCCAGAGTTTGAACTTTGGACATTAAGTGACCAGAAGAACAACTTAACACAAATTATTATTTGATTTACAAAAATACAGAGTGCAGACCAAAAAAGTGACTATTTTCTGACGAAGGTAAATGTGTTTAACGCCGTTAACGAAAACACTTGATGGGACTACATGATCCTGAACGGAGACCGGACCTTTACAGTCTGTTGGACCTGTTGTTCTGATGAAGCTCGAGGTTTAAAATGTTTTTTCTATCACAACATTTTCTAACATGTTTTTGGAGTTTACATGAAAAAAATTCAAATAAATGAGTTGTGACGTTTATTTCTTCACTTCTGCTCCGAAACCGTTCCGTTGAATCGTTTATGTTCTGGCTGTGAAAGTCGACCGCGCAGTGAGCCGGGGAAACACGGCAACATGCTGTGTCACATGCTGCAGCACGTGGTCTCATGTGAAACACGTGACCTTGGTGTGGTCTCGTGCGAAACGCGTGACCTGGGTGCGGTCTTGTGCGAAACGCGTGACCTGGGTGCGGTCTCGCGCGAAACGCGTGACATGGGTGCGGTCTCGTGCGAAACGCGTTACCTGGGTGCGGTCTCGTGTGAAACGCGTGACCTGGGTGCGGTCTCGCGCGAAACGCGTGACCTGGGTGCGGTCTCGCGCGAAACACGTGACCTGGGTGCGGTCTCGTGCGAAACACTTGACCAGTGAAATACGTGACCTGAGTGCGGTCTCGTGTGAAACGCGTGACCTGGGTGCTATGTCGTGCAAAACGCATGACCTGGGTGCGGTCTTGTGGAAACACGTGACCTGGGTGCGGTCTCGTGCGAAACATGTGACCTGTGAAACACGTGACCTGGGTGCGGTCTCGTGCGAAACACGTGACCTGGGTGCGGTCTCGTGCGAAACATGTGACCTGTGAAACACGTGACCTGGGTGCGGTCTCGTGCGAAACACGTGACCTGGGTGCGGTCTCGTGCGAAACACGTGACCTGGGTGCGGTCTCGTGGAAACACGTGACCTGGGTGCGGTCTCGTGCGAAACACGTGACCTGGGTGCGGTCTCGTGTGAAACACGTGACCTGGGTGCGGTCTCGTGGAAACACGTGACCTGGGTGCGGTCTCGTGCGAAACACGGTGCAGATGAGAGTTCTGTGATGGAGTTAAACTCAAAGCTGCTCCTCAGATGAATAAAGTTAAATTATTTTATATAAATGTTTCTGTTGTGACTTGGAGCTTTAGAAATAATCTGACCTGGATTACTGTAGAGAAACGGATTATTCGTGATGTCCGGTTGTTGAAATCAGAAGCAGAGACAGTTTTAGTCATTTTATTGGAGCGGAGTGAGTTTGGAAAAGTCACGATGATGTAATACAGGTGCTGGTCATAAAATGAGAGTATGAAAACATTTATTTCAGTAATTCCATTCAAAAAGTGAAACTTGTACATTATATTCATTCACTACACACACGGATAGATTTTAAATGTTTATTTCTAGAGGTGCACCGACTGAAGTTCTCTGTCCCATCAAAAATCAGTAAAATTGGTTTCTCATGCACATATCGGCCCGGACGATTTATCAGTGCACCCGTTTATTTCTTTTAATGTTGATTATAACTGACAATTAATGAAAACCTCACATTCAGTTCAATGTTGGCCAAATTTAAAGAACATGAAAAGTTTGAACATGAAAAGTCTGATCATGTTCAGCATCAATACTTAGTTGTTGCTCTTTTACCTGGATCTCTGCATCAATGCATCGTGGCACGGACTGGATCAGTCTGTGTCTCTGCTCAGGTTCTGAGAGTCCAGGTTGTTCTGATCGTGGCCTTCAGCTCTTCTGAATTGTTGGCTCTGGTGTATCACATCTTCCTCTTCACAATACTCCATAGATGTTCTATGGGGTTAAGGTCAGGCCAGTTTGTTGGCCAGTTAAGAACAGGGATGCCATGGTCCTTAAACCAGGTACTGGTAGCTTTGGCACTGTGTGCAGGTGCCAAGTCCTGTTGGAAAATGAAATCTGCATCTTCATAAAGTTGGTCAGCAGCAGGAAGCAGGAAGTCTCTAAAACTCCAGGTAGATGCTGCGTTGACCTTTGACCTCAGAAAACACAGTGGACCAACACCAGCAGATGACATGGCACCAAACCATCACTGAATGTGGAAACTTGACACTGGACCTCAAGCAACATGGATTCTGTGCCTCTCTTCCTCCAGGACCTTGATTTTCAAATGAAATGCAAAAATGTTCTTCCATCAGAGAACATAAGTTTGGACCTCTCAGCATCAGTCCCAGGTGAGACACTTCTGATGCTGTCGCTTGTTCAAGAGTAGCTTGACCCAAGGAATGTGACAGCTGAAACCCTTGTCTTGCATACGTCTGTGTGTGGTGGTTCTTGAAGCACTGACTCCAGCTGCAGTCCACTCTTTGTGAATCTCCCCCACATTTTGGAATGGGTTTTGTTTCACCATCCTCTCCAGGGTGCAGTTATCCCTGTTGCTTGTACACTTTTTTTTAATCACATCTTTTCCTTCCCTTCTCCTCTCTGTTAATGTGCTTGGACACAGAGCTCTATGAACAGCCAGCCTCTTTAGCAATGACCTTTTGTGTCTTGTCCTCCTTGTGCAGGTGTCAATGGTCGTCTTTTGGACAACTGTCCAGTCAGCAGTCTTCCCCATGATTGTGTAGCTACAGAACTGGACTGAGACCATTTAAAGGTCTTTGCAGGTGTTTGGAGTTAATTATCTGATCAGAGTGTGACACCAGGTGTCTTCAATATTGAACCTTTTCACAATATTCTAATTTTCTGAGATACTGAATTTGAGGTTTTAATTAGTTGTCAGTTATAATCATCAACATTAAAAGAAATAAACATTTAAAATATATCAGTCTGTGTGTGATGAATGAATATAATATACAAGTTTCACTTTTTGAATGGAATTACTGAAATAAATCAACTTTTTCATCATATTGTTATTTTATGACAGCACATGGAAGTGCAGGTCTGCAGTGCGTCTGATCTACAGCTGCTGCCGTTCAGTTTGAAGCTTTTGAAGCTTCGCGTCACTCGAGAACCTCTGAACGTGAAGCAGGTCGTTCGAAGCACTGCGTGCTCGTTTATAAAGACTTTTACACGTTACAGCACACGTGTCGCCCACAAACACTCGGACACTCCCAGTTTTCAACAAGAAGACCGCAGCATGACGTCATCATGCAGAGTCCATTCCACCGCTGGGCGTCTGTTCCCATAATCCACTGCAGGAAGGAGATGAACCAGAGAAAGGTCCTGGAGTGCCAGCCAAGTCCAGAGCAGATCCCCAGAGTCCGGCAGGTGAGTCAGCGGTCTCTGCAGACGCTGCCTGCAGATCCAGACGACAACGTTCAGAGTCCACGCAGGAAACGGATCAGACACGATGAGCGGTGACTCACCCAGGATGCTGCGTTTGCACAGAGGACAGGTGTGCTGCAGCAACAACCAGGGGTCCACGCAGTCCCGGTGGTACTCATGGAGACACGGGAGGACCCGGAGACACTGAGAAGACAAAAGACGAGGTCTTACAGGACGTTTGAGTCACACACTGAACTGGAAGCAGTTTCACTACGAGCAACTTGGAAAACAACTGCTGGACGTTCAGCAACACAAAGAAGAGAGGAAGCAGTCCGGATCAGAACGTGTGGTTCATGGTCAGCAGGTCCATCAGAGGACCGGCTCAGAACCAGGAGGAACGTGTGGTTCATGGTCAGCAGGTCCATCAGAGGACCGGCTCAGAACCAGGAGGAACGTGTGGTTCATGGTCAGCAGGTCTGTATTATGAAATTCTTTATCAAAAGGGCTCGTGAAACGGTCGGCACAGATATTCAGACGATGGAAAAAATGACACACAGACTGTAACTTGCTAGAATAATATTTGTCATTTATTAATCTGCCACAAGAAAAAAAACAGCCAAGCAAAAGAGTCATGTACACTCTTAACACACAAATTGATATGAGTATCTCTCACCGTGACAAAATGATCGGGAAGCCTTTCGATCCGATGACAGAACTCAATCACACTGCCTGGCACCCGCGCGCTGGTCCAGAGCAAGACTTCTAACTCTCTGTGTCTGATACATTTCTTATAAAGGCTTCCCTGATCGCGTGAGAGCAGATCAAAGCAAGTTTTGATGGTTGCCAGGAGGACAGATTTAATTAAATCTGTTTTTCCTTCATCAAAGTAGTCTGTGCAACAGAGCGATGGTTTCATAAACATGTCCTTCAAAACCTGGGTCACTGTAACCTTAAGATTGGGCCCCAATCTTCTGGCTAGAGCATCCCCAGAGAACTTTAATTACTTCAAAACACATCTGCAGCACAGGAATGACTGAATAAGCAGATAAGCTGCATCAAAAGTGAGTATAAGTGTGTTTAAATAAGTGTAATATAGGTCTAGATTGACATAAAAGCATTAAAATAATAATTTCTATATCAAGGTCCATCAGAGGACCGGCTCAGAACCAGGAGGAACGTGTGGTTCA